ATATATATATATATATATATATATATATTTGCATATTTATATAAACAACTTCAACCACCATTATTGTAATAAATCTTTATTTATAATTGGTCAAAAATATCATGTTTGTGTCGTCGAACCTTTTTTTTAAGTATTATAACTTTTTTTTCAAATTGTTTATCACTAATAAAGTTGGAATAAATATACATTAAAAAAAGACTAAAAAAATAAAGATATATGTGTCTGTTTTGGTTAGAAGACATCTGAAGATGTTAGAAAACTTTGGTCTACATCTGCACCAAGAAGAGGCGCGCAGACATTTTTTGGGTCTGCAGTTTTCAAAAAAACAAACAGTGTGCAAAGGTTAACGTCTGCATGGTCTGCGCGGAGCAGACAGAAAAGACCAAAAAGTTCTGCAGACAAAAAACAAACAACACCAAAATCTATATTTCCAAAATATTTTTTTTTTGGCACCTTGTATTCAATGTTCAAACCCTTGTAATGTACTCTACTTTTAGCCTTTTTAACGCTAGAAAAAAAGTAAAACAAAATGAATAGCCTCACAAATTTGCAAATTAATATCTATGTATTTATTATAATAAAGGCTAAAATAAACACTTCAACAACATTAATTTGAAATTGTAATCATAAATCATAAATCATAAAATATTATGTCAAATTAATGTAATTAAATATCTTTTAACGATGATTGTAATCATAAATCATAAAATATTATGTCGAATTTATATATTAAAAATGACATTTTAACTGTCTTTTAATAAGACAAAACTGCAAAAATAGTCCATGCGGTATGCATTTTTTTGAGGTTTAGTTTAAACCTCAACTTTTTTTATCTTCATAGTCCTTTTGGCCTAGTTTGCATGTGGTTTTGGTCTCTCCGAAAATTAAAATGACTATTATACCCTTTTATTTATATTTTTACATTTTTAATGTTTTTTTAATAATTTAATAACGAAAAATATAAAAGAGGATCCACATATCCTCTCTCTCTCTCCCTCTCTCTCTCACTCTCTCTCTCTCTCTCTCTCTAAAAAAACACACTTTTTAGAAATTAAAAACAAACATATATCATCCTCATCTCATCGTCTTCTCCCTCCCTTCCTGTCCGGTTGAAACTCTTATCATCCTTACCCTGATCACAATCCTCACACTCTGTCACTGCTGGTGGGATGTCAAGTCCACCAAGCAATTTACATCCTTTGTTTTCAAATAAAACGTAATATAATGGTAAAGATGGGTATCGATCCTCGGGGAGATGGTTGTATTCAATCACCAATGTAATCCAATAGAACTAGTGAAATAAAACTAACTACAATTAAACTAAATAGGGGGGGTGTGATTGCTTGAAAACTAAAAGACTTGAATAACTAAAAAGCTTGCAATTAAGCAAGATGGTGAGATGCTCAAATATTGGAGAGAATTGGTCAACTAATGTAATTCAACACAATGAACATTTGTGTGCTTATCATTAGGATTCAATATGAAGCTTATCATTCATCCCAAATTGGTTATAGCAATCATGAAGCATGATATGCCAAGATTCCTCATAGGTAGTATGGAGGTTTGGGAGCCCACAACACACCTTCTTAATCAAAATCAAGGATTCAATTGAAGCAATTGAACCTAAGAAAGTTGATTAGCCTTAAGAATGAAAGAATCACCCATTCCTAGAAGATTTCAATGCTTACACATCCATAAATGAGTCATGATTCATAAGCTAGAGATGATTTCTACCATCATAAATCCCTTGTGCTAAGTAAATTCAATGATTCAATGCAAAACCAAAGAAAATAAACCAACAATTGCTCATTCAAGTACCAAGCTCATGATCAAAGTATTAAACAAGCATAAGAAATATGAACTAGAATCATAAACATAAGAAAAATGACAATCAAGCGTGAATCCTTCAAAACCCACAAATATTCAAGGGCTTTAGCAAAAGTTAACCAAATTAAAGAAACTAGCC